CGTCTCACTTTCCTGATCACAGTCTGCAGTAAATCTGCCGCAGATGTGACAAATATTGGAAGTAAATCCACAGGTGTTGTAGTCCTGTAGTTAAGAAGCTCTTCTCTGGTGTAAGAATATCCAGAGGAGTGCCCAGACACAGAAGTTATGCACAAAAACAAAACAGAAGTAACGCACTGAAGCACCAGGGCGACCATACGCGGCGCCATCTTGCTTACCAACATACACAGTTTTAAGGTGCTTTTGAATCCACTGAAAGAGTTAATAAAAGGTAGAAACACATTCACAGTTTTGCTGCTTGGACCTCACAAGTAAAATCATAAAATCATTGCTTTTAATGTATTTAAAAGTTGGCTTTGACTTTTTTTTTTTCTAGGTCTTCCAGAAAGGAAGGGTGTGTGTGTGTGTGTGTGTGTGTGTGTGTGTGTGTGTGTGTGTGTGTGTGTGTTTTAACCAGCATTACATTTCAATAAAGCCAAGCCCAAGTGTTGAGGGAAATTTTTGGAAGTTGTGCAAATTAGTTTTATAAAAAGCTGCAAAAAATCCAGAACCAGTGTTAAATTCAACTTTTAGAAACATGTAGCCATCCTGTTTGTAATGCAGGTTCTAACAGTGCTCTGCTTGCCTGATGTATAATCTTACTCTAACATTTATCTCTTTCTGTTCTTGTTAGTGTTTTCTATTCTCGTTTTCTTTCCTCCTCCCTTTCATTTCATCCATGCACAGAATGAGAAACTTTGTGCAGTTTTATGCCTCATGTGTACGCTCTCTCCTGTCCTAGCCTGCCCTCTCTATTATTAGTTTACATTTTCTTATTCAGCATGAAACAATGAAATCAAATTACATCATTGCTGGTCGCTACATATTCAGTTATTATGTGTGTGTGTATGTGTACGTGTACACAGATCACCATCCATAGCTACACAGTCACACGCACCACAAATACCCTTGGGAACAACTGTACACAGAGGAATTTAAACCAGAAAAAACAATAAGTGACAAACCTGTTTATATAAGGTGCTTTACACACAAACACACAAGTCACAGCCTATTAATGTTGCATCCTGTCATGTAAAGCTGAAGATGATGTTTTACTGGCTGCAACTCTTACTTCAGAGCATATGAACAGCCTGAAGCTCTGCTGTGTTTCTCTAGACCAAAAGATATTTAAATTGATTATATACCATATTAGCACATTTATATGGTTGTTATGAAGATGAAAAATTTAAAACCTGCCATTAAAAAAGTTTATTTCTTTTGCATTCCTGTTAAATTTTTATTAGGTTCCTATTAAACTTGACACAGGTCCTTTAAAAAGTCTGAAATACACTTGCATTTAAAAGACTTAAAATAGTATCAAACTTTCTTAAAGTTAGTTTGCATGGTTTCTAATTTTAAGTAAAAGTGCAACATGACTGATTAACACTTTAGTTTAACAGTGACAAAAGTAATGTAACCTTGTAGCTTTTAAAAAGGTTGCAAAATAATAATTGAAAATGAAAATGTTTTTTCTGGCATGTTGTATCTTTAAACCCTTCTTTACTTCAGTGTAACCGCATCAGTAATCTCCATGAACCCATGTACTCTCTCCCTGTCTTATGGAGTGCAGCTAGCGAGAGCTCCAAGGATGAGTGGAGTCATTTGCTTACGTTTATTGCAGCTGCTGGTATTATGCATGCCTTCACAGTCTGGTTGTGCTTGACTGTGTTTTTGCCTCAAGTAGTAAAATAAGTTGTTTTCACCTTTAGAAGAAACTGTTTTCTTACGTATTATGTTGGAGATAGTTTAAGTAGCTTCCTTTTTAAATACTAAATCCTTAACAGAGGCTGAAATGTGGCTCGTGCTCTCACATGTTCCTGGGAGTTTCGTCTTGCGTGCACAGCGTGGAATTAAAATGTGTGGCATTTATCTGTGATATCACAACATGATACTTTTATGTCATGCTTAATTTAATCTGGTGTTGCCATTGATGATATGATGTGGTGCAGTCCTGGTCATGACAAATGTGTTTATTGTCTTTTTTTCGCATTGTTAAAAGCAACAGTAGGGAAATGGTTAGCATATGTCTTGGTTATACAAATTCCTTGATAGATCCAAGATAAGAAACATTAGAGGAAACCATGATGATGATAAGAATGAAGGCCTGGCTAGCCTTGTTGGGCTCTGATAATGTGAATAAGGCAGATATCTGAAAATCCTTGCCCTAAAACTGACACGTAAATCCTTATTCAAACTGTCCATCCATCATTGGTTTAAGTTGAAACCTAACCCTTTGCCACCATGACCAAGTGTCATTTCTTTGTTCTTGTTTGTTCTTGTTTTCTTCAGTGGGGTCGGCCGTAACTGGGGTTGGGCGTCAGCAGGCAGTAGCATCCTGGCTGAGTTTGGGACCCTCCACATGGAGTTTGTTCACCTCACTTACCTGACAGGAAACCCAGCCTACTATCAGAAGGTAATAGTATGAATGTACACTATATGTCCTAATTTTCATGCTGGCGTGCTGATTTGTTATTTAACTGCGGATAACGGTCTAGAAAATGCCAACAGTTTTTTGAGAAAAAAAATATAGCCTTTTATCTTAAATAAGAGAAAGCACATTCAAAATAGAAGTGCTGAAATATTTAGATTAAAAAGGAGAACATTTCCTGTTTGGATTAAAACCGATCCAACTGGTGTTCCTCTCAGGTGATGCACATCCGAAAGCTACTAGCCAAAATGGACCGACCCAACGGGCTCTACCCAAACTACCTGAACCCCCGGACAGGCCGCTGGGGCCAGCGTAAGTACATGTATTTGTGTTGACATTATCGCATAGCTCCAGGGCTCTCATTAAAGCATTGTAGTTGTTAGCATTAATTTATGACTTTTTTGATGTTTTACTTTTTCATGATTAGACATTAGCTTAAATCCTGCATTTGCTGAACTGTTCATACATTTCAGTGTTCCATTTGTTGGGGTGAAATGGCTTTTCCAGTGTTGTAATGAAGCATTTCTTTTAAGCATTAAATATGATTTAATGCTCGAGTTCCTGCATTGCTGCATTTGGGAAGTGTCGATGTTCTTGTGAGCTTGAAATGATCATGGAATCAGGAGAGCAATGAAGAGAATGAGAACAGATTATCACTAAGTGAAGAAAAGATGAAAAGCATAATGGATCTTGTTTAATGAGAACAAATTGAATGGAGTAGAAGAAAATGGAATAAGGGGAATGTAGTATTCCCAGTATATCGATTACACTCGGCAGTCAGCCAGCGGAAATGAAGAACTCTTGAAGTAAAGTTAGGCATGCAGTGGCAAACTATTCTTTCTCTGAAAGCAGTCATTTCTTTAATTATATCTCTGCTGAAAAAATGATCTGCAGAGACAGCAAGCATTAGTCAGGGGTACATCAAGTTTTGAATTATACATTGGAAAACACAAATAATAATAGAAAGAATGATTGCTGTTGTATTGAGGCAAGGTAAATGCTAACTCAAATGTGGGTTTGGACACAAAGTGCGTCACTGGACCGTTTTCTGTTGCTTTTTTTCTTTAAGCAGTAAGGAGAAGTGTCTTTTATCTGGACAGAAGGCCAACAGAGTGTTGTAGTAAATGAAACTTTTGTATATAATATAATCAGTAACTCTGCAGATCGTAAATGTAATGCTGGTTAAAACACACACACACACACACACACACACACACACACACACACACACACACACACACACACACACACCTTTTCATATCTTAGTGAGGACATCTCATTGACATAACGCTTTCCCTAGCCTAATCCTAATCCTCAGCCTAAACCCAACTTTAACCCTGACACTAAAACAACATTTGGTCCCCACAAGTATAGTAGTGTGCAAATTTTCTGCCCTCACAAAGATGTCTAAACATATACACACCCACACACACACAGAGCCCTGAATGTATGCTTGTTGACCCCTAACAGTACTTAAGAGTATTTCAGTTTATTGTCCAATCTTTCATAGGGGCTACTAAATATTTCTCTTTCTTTATTTATCTGTTCATTCATTTTTTTAAGCATGTCTTTCACATCAGAGACTTAGATGCTAGTTGACTGATATGTAGTTATATATGGGTCTGGTGTTTGTTATCTAGGAATTCCAACAGAATATTAAAGCATTGTAGTTTTTTAAAATATACCCTTTCAGTGTGCACACTTTTTTTATGGAGCACCATAGTTTTTGCCTGAAGATCAGATATGACAATCTGCTTGGGGTTTGCTCTTTAGTTCAGTGAGAGGAAATGAAAAGATGAAATCTGTTTCAAATTGAATATATAGTGTTTGAGGGTTTTTTGTCCTAGGTATAGTTGCCATGGTAAGAGAGTGCCATATTCAGCCTGTTCAGTTTTACAGCACCCAAAGTAAGATGGAGAAACTGGGGGGAAAAGAGAAACAGATGAGGTGATGGTGCCACTCTTAAGTCTCCATTTTATTAGTTTTACTTGACAAAACAAATGAAGAGCACTCAGGGACAGATAGATAAATGGAGAGGCTCATTAATGGATGGATAGGTGGCTTGGCAGTCAGACTGATGCACTTGTAAGTGCACAGACTATGAGCCAAAAGCAGGGAGAAATAAATGGTTTGAAGATGGAGGGTGGGCAGATTGATTGATGGATGAATGAATGCATTAACAGATGGATAGTCAACTGGCAAGCTGGAGGACTAGGCAGGTGATGATGGATGTTTTATGTTTGCTTATGTGCATGCATGAGTCAGGAAATGAGCCTTTCTTTACCTTCCTGCGAAATAAAATGTTTAAAATAACAACTTTTTCTGCGCATGTGTATTTCTGTGCCTTCAGTGTAGATCAGTCTGCATATATGAGCAGAGTTTGTTTCCTGCTCACACTTGCATGCTGCTCCTTGAGTGTCTGCATCGTGATTTTTATGGCCAGGCCACATTAATTTGCTGCTATTTGACCTTGTTGCCTTAGCAGTGTTATTGATTATAGGGAGTTATGTGAGAGCAGTGTAATTAATATGAAACTTCAGGTAGATCAAAGTAGTTTTGAGCAGCAACATCCTTGAATGGTGTTTTTTTTTTTTCTTTGTTGCAAAGTAATAATAATAATAATAATAATAGTAGTAATAATAATGATGATGATGAAACATTTTATTTATAGATGCTTTTAAGACCGTCATGGTCAACTTACAATAGTACAAACATCAGCAACAATACAATATAATAGAATATAGGAAATTAAATTTTAAAAGTATGAGTGATTTCACTGTATTTTCACTTCAGTCATCATTTTCCATGAAGCTATAAAATGTTGCTGTCCAGTCATCTATAGCAGGAATTTGAAACCTTTTGGGACTGAGGAGCACTTGCAGGAAAGAAAACTTTCCAATGACCTCCTCATAATCCTAACAGGGATTTAGCTGGCTGCGGCTTAGTGTCACTTCATAATGTAACTGAAATATTTTCATGTCTCACCTGATATCTAGCTGGCTAATAAGCCACGCTATGTAACAGCAGGCTCAGCGAACCGTGAGGGGAAGTGAGCAAAGTCGTTATAACATGATATAATGTGTTACCGTCATACCAGGGTTTCTATTGGCCCAGACAATGTGTAGGAGGGACTGATAGACAAACTAAGCATATTTTATTGGTCTTAGCAGTTTTCTAATTGTATCAATGTTAATCCAATTTCCCCTCGTGGGACAATTAAGTATTGAATTAATTAAATGCACTTTAAAATGCACAGTTCAGTTTTATGATTTATAGCATATTATTGGCGAGGCTTAGCTATGGCTCAGAAACTCTTAAACATAATCGATCTTTAATGATCACTGTTACAATAAAATTACTGTCACTTTCAAACTTTGGAAGCAAACACTTATTGTTTATTAAATGTGTATTTATTGATAGGTACAACAAAGGCAAAATTTGCCTCTAGTTAATTAAGTTAAACTGATTATTATCCAGTCTTCTGTTTTGGAGCGAGTGTGTAACTCTTTTCTTTACAGCAGTGGGGTTTTTTTTTTTTAAACCTATTGAATTATGTTTAAGGTTAAATTAAAGTAAATTGCCATAAAGTTAAATATGGTTGTTCTTTGTGTAATTTAGAAGACCTGTAAGATAAACAGAACACGGTGACAGAAAATGTCAAATCGAGACGAGATACATTTGTTTAAATTCATTACGAGGATGAGCTTTTCAGAACAGAGAGGCAGTGAGGCTGTCTCTCTCTCTCTTTAGTACCGTATCAGCAAACAAACCTAACAGAGACCATGAGTTAAAATCTGTGCAGCTGCAGGGTTTTCTTACCGTATTAACTTCTGTGACAAGTAGACAACCACTATTTGGAGGCTCTGTTATCTTCCTAAAAAGCTTAATTGGTTTGTACTTATTTCAGGGTGAAACTAACTGTAACAGACAGGATGAAAAACAGCTTTCTTTTCTGTGATGGGGGTTTATTTGCAATAACTCTATGTTTGAATTATGAATACTGCCAATGTTGGCATTGGATGAGACCGTTTGAAGATTGGAAGTGTGTGTTGACAGCATGTGCAGCGTTGCCCCGTGTATGTTAATGTGTAGGTGTGTAGACAGTAGTTAAGCCAGACTAATGAGGAATGAGTCTGAGCTCCCCTTTCTTAATGAGATCCAGCTGTGACTGACAGTGTTATTACCACACACTGTTCTGTCTTAGCGTAACACAGTGCTACCTGTCTACACACAGCACCCACTCCCTCTTTGGAACCCCGCAGTGACTCTTCTTTGCTCCTGTGTGTATACAGTCCTTGTCTTTCATCTCTAGATGTTCATGTATCAGAGTTAAATATAGCCTAGCCAGAATAGTGTTTTACATAGGTTCAGTATCTACAGGCTGTACACACTGCTACAGGTAAAAGTTTATTATTCAGTCCTTACTCTTTTCTCCCAGAGGATGGAGTGTAGGCAAGAAACAACCTGAAGATTAAGAGAACTGCCTTTACACCTATAAAGATTTTTTTTACCAACAGTATCTGTGTCTTTCTGCAGCTTGATGAAAGTTTTAAAACTCTTTTATTACTTATTTTGGCTGGCATTTTGCCAGACTGCTCTTTATTCGGAGCTCTTTATAAATTGTTTTTTAAAAAGTTATTATTTATGCAGTGTACAGCAGCTTGGATAAAGCAGCTATGTTGACTGCTTCTGCACTTGTTGCCAGTTTTTTTGCAACTTTTCTGGCTCGTGTACAAGACAATAACGTTCCCGTTCTCAATGATGTCATCTTGAATTGACATCAAGTCACTGAAAGAAGCCCAATTATGTTTTGTAATTTTTTTTCCCTTTCTCCTCCTTTCAATAGGACTAAATGTTGAGTGAAAACGTTTTATTCTTTGCCCAAATGGTTATTCATTGAATTTTTTAGAAAAATCGCCACCTCGATTTTGACTAATATATTCTTTATTTGATCGAAATAGTCTAGTCTATGAACAGGTTACCTCTTGCAAGAGTAGTTATATTGTATCAGCTTAATGTCTCTGTTACGTGAAAATGTTTACACACAATATAATGCTGGAAAACCTGTTTGGGATCATCCAGTTGTGTGGCTCCAGCACCATTGTTTCTGATGCTGTCACTACTGCTTAAAGAACTTGGAGCTGAGTGTATATCATGTAAACTGTGGTGCCGAGTCCAACAGTGTTCTAATGGAACTTTGCCGACTAGTTTGTGAACTGCATTTCTTTGAAGTCCATAACGTGGCCACAATTTATCCATCATTTTCAGTATAACTCGACCATATTTTATATACAGTTTATGTACAATTACAAAGAATTCCAGGGTGTACTGTGGTGTAATTTAAATCTGGCTCACAATTATAGACACAATCTGACATAACAAATCGATATACTTTATTTCACCTTCTTAAAAATACAGAGGAGTCTCTCACGATGCTGAATGGGGGGTGTACCTCTGTGCTGCTTTGCAGGAGTAGCACGTGGAGTGGGTCAAAAACTCGCTCCGGTGGGTAGTTTGTGGTAAATCTGTAACACAGGTGTCCTAAGGTGAGCTAAGGAGGACAGAACCCTCTGGGGAGGAGAAGGGTAAACACTTGCTTGGTCTTGATTTTCAGACTGTGAGAGGTTTCTTCCTGTTAAAAGGGAGTTTTTCCTTCCCACTCTCGCCAAGTGCTTGCTCAAAGAGGGGGCTATTTGATTGTTGGGGTTTTCTGTATTATTGTAGGGTCTGCCTGACAATATAAACCACCTTGAGGGGACTGTTATGATTTGGCGCTCCATAATTTAAAAAAATTAATTGAATTAAATTGAAATGGTAAAGAAGACATTAAAGGATGCTAAATTAAAGAGTGCACTAACAGCCTGCACGATAAGTGAGCACTCTGTGTTCAATAAAGTCATGAAAAGTACAACAGTTTCCAGACAACAGTGTGTAATTGTGAAATAAACAATGATCAGTCACTCTGTATGAGAAATTAGTACAGAAATCCTGGTGATCCTAAAGAGTTCCCACTTTTCATTTTGCTGTGTATGCAAAGACAGTTGTTCGTTTTTAAAAACTGCAATAACAATATGTCAGTCTCTGCTGGTTCGGGTCCTTCACATAAAATCATTATACTGTCTCTTTTGATAAGATGCAAAGATGTTGTGTTTTCCAGGCAGCCTGTGTCCTTGACCTCTGCTTTGAAACAGAACGTGTGTGAAGCTTTGTGAAGGCGTCTTTTTACACATGCGTCTTTGTCTGTGTGTTTGAAGCTGCCACCTCAGCAGACCCTGCCTTTGATTGACAGGTGCTCTCTGCATGACCCAGATGCTTTGATTGACAGAAAATAATGGAGACAGGAGCTTAGGGAGTATATGTGGGTGGATGCTAAGTTAAAACTGTGAGAGGTGACAGTAAAACAGAGTATGAGTAAAGAGTTGTAATAAAACTACCAAAACAGAAAAAGACTGTAGGAGCTTGGCATGTTTTCATTTGTACAACGCTTTTCCAAGAAAATTAATTTCATAATAAATGATATTTTTGTTTTTTTCCCCTTGAAAGTAGATAAGTAGATGGTAATTTATTTGATACCATACCTCAGGGTCAAGGTCAAGTTTTCTGAAAATATTAAGTTATGGATTAACTTGCTTAATCTCTCCCCAGAGCTGCTTGATTCAGCTGATTGTTGTGTTTGTAGCATGTCAAATATGTGTTACCAACAAGGAAATGGAAATGCATCTGGTGAAGAAACTATGCAACATCACCAAAAACCTGCAATCTGCAAATATTTAATAACGAATGATATATCAGTCGGGTTCTAATTACAGCAGATGAAAAGGTTTGGCTCGTCATTCACCAAACTTCCGAACAGCTCAGCTCTTTATTTAGAGTCTTAAAAACAAAAAAAGTGTAAGAAAAACAATAGTTGCTCCTAGGACAGTGAGACCGATGTTTTCATGAAGATATCACATGTCAATTATCTCAAACGCACACACAGTGAGTTAAATGAATTGACCTTGGCACACACTGTATGTTTCTGGGTAGTGCCTAGTTTTGTTTGGGGTTTTTTTTTTTCCAGACAGCCTAACCCTCCAAATATCAAAGTAATTCAAATAGTCACAAAATTTAAAAAGTGGAAAACGTGATAATTAGACAATAATTATTTAGTGATTAATAATTAACAGTGAAATAGCAGTTAATTGAGAAGTCCTATATTTGCAGAATCTGGCAATTTCCATCATTTGTCCACATAGTTTGTTAAAGCTATCAGTAGTTTAGGATTCATCAATAACCACATTTTTTAAAAAGGGGGTCTTTGCATTAAAAAAGAAAAGAGAGGACTTGTTTCAACCATCTCAAATGCCTCTTTTCTAAGCAAAATACCACAAATACATCGATCGTTTACTTTATCTGAGGTTCATTTTCCTAAAGGTCAGACATGCTGTTTGTTATGCCCCCAAACAAGAACGCTAGAACATAAAGTGGACTTGCTTGTAATGTGAGTCCACTTTGTTTCCCCTGGCTCCAGTCTCCATTTTGCACCCTGTCATGTACGTTAGAGTGCCCAGACTCTTTGGGGGATCAGAGTAGTTGTCATCTAACCCTCCAAATGATCCTCCACGCTCTGACTACCTCACTGTGCTCATTTTTAAGTAGTTTCATAGACACAGGCTCTCAGCTGTTTGCTGTCATTTTTGTGTAAATACTGACTCAAGCACACACGTGTGAAATCCAGACAAAAACTCATGCGTCAGCCCACACTGGCCTCGGCAATGTCTTCAAGGTTGTTTGTGAGATTTGCGCACTCTTTGGGACTAAAGATGAATAATTCATTGCTTAGATTGCTTTTTCATCTTCCTTGTTCCCCGTCTTTTGTGCATCCCTCCATTTACCTGCGGGCATGTTAATCACATAAAGAAAAGAATCTCCTTGATGATGAGACAAAAAGCATCTGCTCTAATATCAGCTATGATTACACAGAGCTAAAGGATGAGGAATATTCTAGTTTTTCCCCGAGTGAAGGCAGAGCTGAATAAACATTTCATCTGTGCAAAAGTGGTTGAGGCACCAATTCATTTGCAGTATTATCACTCACAAAACCAAATGTAAAAAAGATCAGTATATATGGGATCATTTACAGTCATTCAAGCCCTGTGGGGTTTTTTTAAGTAATATTTTGTGGGTCAGTAAAATTGCCTTTGAAACTGACCAAAGTGCCATCAGAGTGGGCCCTGAGTGCTCTCAGGGGTTATTTTCTTATTGCGATCCCAGACTGCCAGATTCTGGCATCCTATTTTCATTTTGTGGTGTCCTGCAAATTAGGGCAGACATGAAAGCTGTGTAAACTTTGACAAGGACGATTGGGGACACTGAAATGTGAGCGCACACATCAGGGAGAGGGTAAACAAAATGGGACGAGAGAGGATGCACGCTGCTGATATATTGTGGATGTAGAGAAGAAAAATGCCCAAGGTTTTGATTTAAAAAAAAAAATGCTTTTGATGCCATATGCTACACTCTGCCAAGGACTTTGAGGCAAAGTCAAAAAATAAATAATTCACTTTGGCTTTCTCATTTGTTTGGCTCTTGCTGCTTTTCCTCTTTCGCTCACGCGGTGACACTTGGAGCTTTCTTTGTGTCTCTCTCTCTGCAGATCACACGTCTGTTGGAGGACTCGGGGACAGTTTTTATGAGTACCTGCTGAAGGCTTGGCTCATGTCAGACAAGACTGACACAGAGGCTCGCAAGACCTACGATGACGCCATCGAGGTACAGCGTAGTGACCTATGCTGCAAAGTTAAAATACAGATTGTTTTCTTTTATGAAGAATCGTATACTGCATGCAGATGAGTCAGAGCTGTAACTGGAAATGTCAGCAGTTATTCTTTTTTAATAACCACAGAGTCCCCGCTGACCAGCTTCAGTATCCACCTTTGCAAAGGGAAGACATTGCTTTGTTTTCAAGTAAACTAGGAGTGGATTTAGTAGAAAGCAGATGTTAATGAAGCTGTCTACTCATCATTAAGAGTGTCAGAGACTGAGCAGAGCAGATGCTGCGGAGCAAAGGGTGAAGGATGTGGCTGGATTTCAAATGTGACCGTCACTGCTGCTTTAGTTTTCTTCTGTTTGACCCTCCACACCCTCAAGCAGTTGCCCTCAGTGTCAATGCCCCATTCAAACGGTGTAACCTTTTTCTGTCCACATACCAGTATTAATATTGTAATTCCTGTTTCCCACCTTATCTTGTTAAACACACTCATACACAGGCACGTTGTTACTGAAAACAAGCTGCTATATTCTACTTTTCTGGGTCTTCATCTTCTCTGAAATGTTGACACTTCCCATTAGAGCCTTTGCTGTTTCCACAATTGCACGCTCTCTCTTCCTGTAGGCCATCGAGCGCCACCTCGTACGCAAATCCAACGGTGGCCTAACATTCATTGGCGAGTGGAAGAATGGCCACTTGGAGAGGAAGATGGGCCACCTGGCCTGCTTCGCCGGAGGCATGTTTGCACTGGGCGCCGATGGCTCACCTGACGACAAGGCCGGACACTATTTGCAGCTAGGAGCCGAGATCGCGCACACCTGCCACGAATCCTATGACAGGACAGGTGAGGAAGCAGTGGAGTGCTGCATACACAAACACAATATACACAAACACAATATACACAAGCATACAGGCTAGAGAAAAGTGATCACTGTGACTGTCTTTTTTTTTATGACTTTCTAATATCCTAAACATTTAATGTTGGTGTGGATCAGATGCTGACAGGTAGTGTTAAATAGTCTTAACTATATACGTTAGGAAAATGTTGAATGGGTGTCGTTATCCTCTACAGTAGATGTCAGAGGACACAGTCAGTTTCCCTCTTAGCACAGCCTGGTAGTGCTAGCATCACTGTCACTTGTCTCAAAGCTCCAGTTCTCCTGTAAACTCAGGCTAGCAGCATTAGCATTCAGGTCACCCACTGGAGGCAGGACTATAGCTCGGAAAATCACCCACTCCTGCTAGCAGATTGACAATTTCCATTTGACTTGATCCAATCGTTATTTATGGTTTAAGCAACTAATTTACAAATCGTTTAAAATATTTACATACGTTCTGTATTTTAAGATCCAGTTACTCAAATGTTTTATATACACTGATACATTTTACACATAAAAAATAAATCTTATCAGCAGGCCCTGAGATTGCCCATGCAGTAAATCCATCTATAAAATCCTCCCAGTGACTCAACCAACAATTAATTCTGCTTGTCCTAATTGGAAACTATGCAGTTAGTAAAGTACCTGTTTTTCAGCTCTTTTTTTTTATTATTAATGCTTTATTTATTGCCATTTCCTGCGAGCATAATAAATATACTATTTACTTGACAGAGAGGAGAGGAGGGATTACCATGGCAACAAATGAAGATGGAGAAAGAGACAAAGAATAGAAAGGGAGAGAGTCAGAATTTGATAGCTGTGGTCAGGCTGTCTAAAGTTGGCCTGTTTCTTAATAAGCAGCCATTAATGGGAGCTATTAAATGTGTGTGTCAACACATACGTATGCATGTCAGTGTGTTTAATCCGTTCAGGGACAGTCCTGTCACTGTTTTGTCAGCCTCTGTAATTTTCCACTCAGGCTGTTAATGCCTATCACACTTCATTGGCAGAAAGCAGTGGTTGTAAAAAGAAGAAAAGCCTGTAAAATCAGTGGGTTGGGATGCTTTTTATTGCTTACACACAGGCACTATTTCATACTAAGACAAGCACGGAGCAAAAGATAATCTTTATCTCCTCTCTGTTCTTTTCAACCATTAATTATTTGATCACTCTTTTCCTTCCTCTCTCTGTTCTATCACATCCTTGATTCATTCCACTATTTTCTGGCTTTTTCTTCTTGTCCCTTTTGCCTCTTTTTCTTCTTCCAATATTACCTTCACTCCCTTCTCTTCTACCTCCTGGCCTTTCCTTTACATTTCACCTTTCTTTCTCTGTCTTAAGTGCTGAAGCTCGGCCCAGAGGCCTTCAAGTTCGATAGCGGCCTGGAGGCGGTGGCTGTTCGGCAGAATGAGAAGTACTACATCCTGCGGCCGGAGGTCATCGAGACCTACTGGTACATGTGGAGGTTCACCCATGACCCCAAGTACCGACAGTGGGGCTGGGAAGCAGTACAGGTAAAGAGATTAGACTTTGTATAAATCTTAGTCTTGATTATCATTTTGATTAGATTTTAATACCTGCAGGCAGTTTTTAAAGACTTACTGGAGAGGATGTGGAACAAAATGTTTTTGCATTTTTAAATTGAGGCTTATCCTTGAAACAGGAATTCAGTGAAAACGTGGAGTCCACATAGACACACAAACGTGCAAACAATTAGAAACGCTGTCCCTCAGGATTCATGCACGTGTTATTAATTTGAGAAGAGTCCTTTGTAGTGCATAGCGTGGTTCCTAATAAAAGACAACGGAAGACAAAATGAAACTCATTTTTTCTGTATCTGTTTGACTATACCAAAGATTTATGCAGCTTTCTCTTCCCGTTCTCATCTCAGGGGGACTAAATATTTTTGTTTTGTCAGCGTTTATTTTGCTCATGTCTCTGATAAGCACAAGGTGTCCTTTGGCACTGGTGCCTCACAGCACTGTTCACAGCTCTGTTGGATGCAGACAATTAACAGCCAACTTTTGAAAATTGCTTTCAAAGTTGGACAAGTGGTTGAGTAACAGGTTTCCCAGCCAGAGGACAGCTTGTCTCGTTAACTGTCTTATTTGGAGCTGGAGCTGCTTTTCTTTTTCTTCTTTCTTCTTGTTTTTCATTTGCTCATTCATTACTGTCACCTTGTTTTTCTAGTTTAGTTCTCACTAATTTGGTGTCCTGGTCAGTAAGATTAGACTCTATTCTAGGCTTACTGATGACTCAAGCACTTTATCTGTCTCACATCTCTGGCCAATTTAGAATCACCACTTAACTGATCATGGACTGTGGAAAGTTAAGCGGTGCTAACAACTGCACCACTGGGCCGTTTATCTTTACAGGAGCATTTTGGGTCATTTATATAACATCAGTCTAATCAAAACGTATTTCCATGTCACTTTATTGACCTGCCATTGTCAGCCCTGTTTGTTGTGGAGACGGTGGTTACTGAACAGGCCAATCACAATAGTTGCTGCGTCTGCGCAATTTGTAGTTACAGTTCAAGGGAGGTGACGTTGTAGGGTCTCAGATGGCTTGTGGTTGTGACATAGTTATGGTGTAGATTTCCCGCTGAAGCAAAAATCCCCAGTCAGGATGAGTGTTGTTACGCACAGTGCCATACTTAATGCTTTGCTAGCAACCGTAAATTCTGGTGAAACAAACTTGGTAAAAATTACTGGAAGTTACCAGAGAAGAGTCTTGTTTCTCCTTTTACTGGTGGGCTCGCCAATAATGACGTCATGTGAAAGCTAATTGATGAAAATGAAAATGGACAAGAAAAGGAGTTGGTGGGAAGATGCAAGTTTACCAGCAACCGGTGTGAGAAGAACCGTGAGTGTCAGTGGTTGAGGCAGGTGACTGCAAATACTCATGAAGCAAACGGTACTGTTTATCAAAGATGTTTCAAAGTTAGTTTTTAGTTAGGTTTGTTGAATTATTTTACGTTATTACGTTATTAACCAGATCTTTAATCTCAACTAAATGCTCCATTTTTCTCCAACTGTCTAGCTGTTCATTATGAACTAACAGTGCTCCCATTGCAGGGTTTTTTTTCTCCAGTTTTCTTTCTTTACTTAAATATTCTTTGCTTTGCGTCCATTAGAAAGTAAATAGCACATTGAAACAGTAAACAGAGCTTTTTTTTTTGCAGTAGAAACCATATTTAACATCGACTTTTGAGTCAGAAGGTCAGACTGTGCTTTAGTATTAGTAGTAATTTGCCTCTCATCTAAAAGCAGGTAACCGACAGAATAAATGCGTCTTTTCAAACCATTTTCACCATGCCTGTGCTTTTAACAGAGCATCATCAGCAACCTATGGTAGACTGTTCTTTTAAGCTTTAAATATGTGAAATGAAAGCAGTGCAGGTCTCACCAAACTTCAAAGAGCACAATGAAGGGATTTAAATTGACATCTTGCAATTTTTGTACTGGTGGGATGTTTTGATATGTTATTAGATCTTCTTCCTTTGGTGCTTCAATATGGAAATGTGAGAGAAATGAAAGTGCCTCTATACATTTCACCCCTCTGTTCCACTTCTTCTGACAGAGGATTAAAGAGTTCACCCGCTATACGGGACTCGGTGCGTCTTCTATGTACAAATCTCTATTGGCCTGCTTGTCATCTTCAGCTACTGCTTTTTTCCCTCTTTACTTTTCTCTTTTGTCCTGCCAATCTTCTTGTCACCTTTTCTTTGTTTTTCTGAGTGGGAGGAATTGTGTTCGAGCTCATGTTTCAGACAAATCTATTAGCAGGTGTGTTTATGAAGTGTGATTGTATTCAGTGTGTCTGACACTAAAGAGCTGGTGCTGAAAGGCTCATCTTTGCCTCTCTTTTAATAATGCATATACACCCTGCAATGCTAATAAATATGACAGCTTATTTACGTCGTACTGCCCTTGATCAAGAAGTTTTATTGATTCAAATATCCTGAAGTTTCAGTTAAGTTTTTGGTAACAGGTAAATAAACAGTTTAAACAGTGTTTTTGGTTAATTAGATTGTTTTGATTCGGTCTTGTGGTTGTGCCATATTTTAGATGAAAGGGGGGAAACTAAAAACAAGCATGTAACAACTTTCAGATATTGTGTATCTTGAACCGAATTTCCCAGAGGAACCCACCCGAGGGAATAATAAAGTTTTATCTTATCTTAAAAAGTAGTAGAGCTGAAGTGTTCCTTGCCAATGGCAGGCTGGCGATCAGTTGGGGTTAGATCTGGAAATTGTGAAGGCCAAAACATCATCATCCTCATCAAACCGCGACCCCCTCAAACTCTCTGGAGAAGACCATTGTTGTCCTGGAAGAGACCACTCCCACAAGATGGAAATGTGTCATCTTAAGATAAAAGTGATCACTCTGAACAAACTTGTGTTGATTTGCTGTGACCCTTCCCACTAATGGGTTAAGTGAGTGTCAGACATTAAGTGGGGAGAAACAGAACAACTGGGGGAACAACATTATTACTCCTAATATGGTTTGTCTGAGAAGTGCACAGACCTGACAAAAAACAGTTATTTCCAAGGACAAACTATCCTAACTCAAGATGAGCTGTGCAAAATGTGCAGTGCAGTGGAGAATGCTTGAGCCTTTATGTAAGAAAGGCCACACAGCCACTCCAAAAACATGTGGCCCAGTGTAGTAAAGCCAGGAAAGACTCAGCTGCACATCTACACTTAAAAGAGAAAGGACATGAAAACCGATGACAGAGGGGTAAAGGAGACATCTTTGTCCAGTGTAAACGACCATCAGTGAACAGTGTTGTGGTACGTATGACACCAATTAGCAGCCACTATTGCCCAGTCTTGTGACTCCTTCCAAAGCAATTGAACCTCCCTTTACACTTTGACCCATGTGACCTTACTGACTGACACGATGACAGCATATGTCACTGACTCTCAGCACTACCTCCAAGGTGACAACCCCACTTGGGATTAAAGACCTGGGATTGCCCATCAGCTGCCAGAACAGAAGAAGAGGTAAAACATCTTTTTGAATCTGAAAAAGAAGAAGAATCAAGTACTTAACATCACCGTGACCTGGATGATTGAGAACCTGCACGGATAAGTGGACATGCAGCAAAAGAGAGCTGCCACCCCCTTTCTTTGTGTAGTGGTCAAGGATTTTCTCTGTATGTGGAACAAAATACTTTTACTTTGACAGATTTAAGCCTAATCATGAATGGTGATGTTTAGCAAGTGTTTTTAAACTATGTGTTGACTTTCTGCATGAAGTTTTTATGTTCTAAATTGCTCATTTTTATACGGTGTTGTGTTTTATACGTTGTTTTGGTTGTCATATATTTTGCCCTTAGAGGCATCAGAAGTGTAATGAACTCTAAATATTATACACAGGCATTAACTTAGGCAACCAGCGCACATAGTGAGAGAGTCCTCAGTTTCTTTTCTGTTTGCATACTGAAACTCTTCCACTCTGTGTCAGCCCCATTCACTCAACCATACTTATCTGTTATTTCATGCTGCATGTTAATTGAGTATGTTAAATATGCACCTTCATAATAAACCTGAATCAATGCTTGTTAACAAAATACTGGAGTTTTCAGAACTACTTTCCACTCTCACTTTTCCTGTGTAAAAGCACCGCATGCTTAACACCTGTCTGGATTTTTTATGTAGGGTGGTTTAAGAGCCATCTTTTATATCTAGTTTCTTTTTCATTTCGTGCTGACTTTTTGAGTTTCCGTTTCTTAGGCTACGTCCACACTAGCCCGGTCTGAAAACGCTCCGCGTCCACATTATCGTTTCAGTCGTTTTCACAGAGTTGTGCGTCCACATTGAAACAACCAAAAACACTTACATTCCAGTACTGCGCATGCGTGAAACGCAAGCAGATTCGGCCTGCCTCATTCCTGTCTGCCCTTTATTTACTTTCCAGCCCTTTGAAACGTTGCAGCAAAATGTAGAGGAAAAGCAGTTTTTTAAATGGACTAACAATGAGGTGGAGTTGTTGCTGCGAGCAACACAAAAGTACAAAGTTGCAAAAGCGAGTGAGTTAAAGAATTTGAAGAAAAGCGACCTGGAGCATGTACAGACTGATATTAATCTTTAATAGGGCTGTCAAAATTGAAAGCAAACAAAACAACTGCTGTATAACGCCCTCCGCTATCTTAGTTTAATTGGTCACTTGACTGCATCACATGACTAAATTGTGTCATCGTTTTCAAAAAGTCTCCGTTTTCGCTGTCCACACTGCGACGCGAAAGCAGCGTTTTCAAATGTATGCGCTTTCGAGAGCCTTTTCAAAATGCTGCGTTCTCCTTGAGTGTCTCAGTGTGGACGGGAGGCCAAAACGGAGAGAGAACGATGCGTTTTCAAACGAAAACACACCAGTGTGGACGTAGCCTTAATATTTACACGTTGCCTGTATTTAACCATGTGTGTATCTTATTGCTTTTCTCACCTGTTTCTTTCTGACGTAACACCTCAGGCTTTCTCCTTCCTCACTCACCTTACTCTGTTCTTGTATTGCTCTCTTAACCCCAGCAACCACTCTTCACAAACACCTGTGTTCTTCTCTGCTTGTTGCCTTAAAGTTCAGCTCCTCCTTTCCTCTTGCTCTGTCTCTCGCTCACATGCACACACACACACACACACACACACACACACACCCGTACCCCAGCTGCATCCATCTGGTACACCAAACCTGCCTCTGTTTGTCACGCTTCCTCTATTCACAGCAGCTATTAACATTGGCTGGCTTTTACATGTGTATGCGTGTGTGTGTTTGTGCATGCGTGTGCATGCAGAGGTGAAGCCCAGCTGCTGTTATGTGCAGTGTGTCCTCACTTGGCGGTGGCAGGAACACTGCTCCGCCTTGCACTCCATTCCCTACAGGTAGACTTTTTATCGGATAATTTATATAGCACAGATGGTGGTGTGTGTGTGTGGGTGCGCGCGCATGTGTCTTTTATGTTTGTGGGTGCAGATACCCCTACCATTGTGTAAAATATGAAAGAAAATTTCCAGACCGTTGAGTTTTAGCTCAAGTGTTTATGTGACTTGTGTTAAAATGTGTCTTTTAAGTGCCTGGACCTAATCTATGATACACTCTGGTTGTTATTATTGTGTTCGTGTGCCACACTGGCTGTTGCAGGGCACTGCAGTGCAGATCAGGAAGGGCAAACGTTTGCCGGACGCAGCAGCCCGTGAAAATCTGGAATTATGGTCCAAACTGACAGTGAAACGGTCACTCGAGGACAGGATAGAGAAACGTGTGGGTGTAGGTGAGAGAGGGGGGAAAACTGAAAGACAAGGACAGATATCACACTTTGAATTCCATGCACTGTCTGTGTCAATAAGACATGAGCAGAAGCACCAATTACCAGTGTAGAGCGCGCAGGTAAGAATGGACGGTGTGTCGCCAGCTGGGTGATTGCTGCATTTCTAATGAGCTATTTCTGGTTTGTGTGTGCAGGCAGAGAAAGCACCTGCTCGCAAATGAGCCAAAACTGTTTGTAGTAGGGAATCATCCAGTTAAGCTGCCTGGAAAAGCATTGCGATACGTGGAATATGTGTTAGCCGCTGTTGTTTCGCGTCAATAGATGTGAATATTGAGAAGCAGGATTACAAAAGTGTGCTCTGTTTTCTAATCTGGATCACTTTGTTCGATAGAAGGAATGAAAAGGAATTGACTTGCTGAGCGTGCTTGCTGAATCCACAAAAACAGGACTCATTAATAGCCCTGCGCTCAAGAGATTGATTTATAAATGCATAACTTGTGTAAGTTGAGCGTGATTAGAATGGAAATCAGAATCTGGCGACAGTTTAAACTCAAAGCGTTGAGTGACTCAGCTGTCTGTGTGAGTCGCAGTGCACAATGCTCAGATGTCAGATCATTTAATAGACCCGGTTCTCCTGCTGCTGTCGGCCCGGCTGCTCTCCGTGTTTGTTGTTTTGCGCTTGTTGAAACACTGACACATCACATCGTTCACAGTTGAAGAATAAACCCTCGAAAGTGAGCAAACGGGGGATTTACATCCCAACCACCTACGATTGTGCTGTCATTTTGTCCTGAAAGAACCGTGTGTCTCGAAAAGAATCGTGCACAAGCAAAAAAGAGAACAAAGACATTTTTACCCCCCAAAAAAGAAAAAATATCTCCAGTTGAAACAGTAAATCTGCCTTCAGTAGAAATGTGCAGATGAAGGTGAAAAGAGCCTGATTAGAAGATTGTAAATACCCCTGTGGGATGGCCACGGGCTTTACTTCACCTTAAGAAAGCGTTTACTTTGTCATTGCACTCCAGCTCCCCACGGGTGAAGGATAACAGGAGCCAAATGAGTGTGTACCGTCATTATGAAACTGCTTTGTAAAAACAAAACACAAAAGTTGAATGAAGTATAAAGAACAGAAAGGCAGCAGTTGTGGTAATCTGTTTTTTCCTCACATTTTGTGCAGCCGCTGCTTCCTGTATGTCACCGCAGGACACTCTCTAATCTGTCACACGCAAAGAAATTAATTACACCATGCTTTTTATAAGCATATTAAAATTGTACTCCCCCCCCCACACCTTTCCTCCACTCTAATGCTTTCTCCTCATTTTGCTTTTCTGTCATGTAAACCTTCCCTCTACCATTTTCTCATTTCTGTCCACTTTTTTCCTCTTTGTTCTGCCTTCATTTGTTTTCTGTCTCCTCAACTTCCTTGTTTCTGCTCTACACTTCATCCTACAACTTGCCTTCCATCTCTTTCTCATTCCTCTTCTGTTCCCCCTTCTACCTCTCATCCTCCCCCCGTCTCCCCGTCTTCTCCAGGCCATTGATAAGTACTGCAGGGTGAGTGGAGGTTTCTCGGGGGTGAAGGACGTCTACTCATCCAATCCAACCTATGACGACGTGCAGCAGAGCTTCTTCCTGGCTGAGACACTCAAGTAAGTTTGTCTTAATGGATCGATCAATTGGCAGAAGCTATGAATAGTCAATATGCTTTTTAATTAATGATTCTTATAATTAATTCAGTGTGAGAAAAGTGTTTGCAGTTATTTTAAACTATCTGTTAAACAGAAGTGGAAGAAGATAAAAGCAGTCAGTTTCTAACCCGATGTTTGTTTGTTTATTTATTAAAGTTTGCCCTAACAGAGCACTCGTACATATTTGTAGATTAAGTATGTGGTCATTGTAGAAACATGTGGTAAGTGTTCATTCTCAGTTGCATCAACAGTCGCAATCACATTGAGTGAAGCTGCTGCAAAGTTTGCAGCATTTGTACAAACTCTTGTATTTGTGTTGCCTCAGAAATAGTTTGGTGCAGTGACTTGTCAATAACAATTTGCTGGCCAATGAGCATACCGTTAATAATGCTTCTTACTGATACTTTTAGTGCATCTGAAAAGTATTTGCATCACTTGTTCCACATTTGTCATGTAACGTCCTTATTCCAAAATGGATTCAATTCATTTTTCACCTCAAACTTCTACACAATATCCCATAATGACAGTGAAAAAGTTTGCTTGAAATTCTTGCAAACCTTTGCCCAATGTTTTATTGAACCACCTTTGGCACCAATTACAGCCTGAAGTCTTTTTGAGTATGATACACAAAGACAGGCTGTAATAAGCTTAACGCACCTATTTTTTGGCCAGTTTTGGGCTTTTTTGTTTTGGTTTTTTTGGCCCATTTTTTTTGGGGGAGGGGGCTATTTTCTCCCAGTCTTCTTTGCAGAACCCGTCAAGCTCCATCAGATTGGATGGGGAGCATCAATGCACAGCCATTTTTAGTTCCCCAAGAAGTTCAAGTCTGGGTTCTGGCTGGGCCACTCTGGGATATTCACAGAGTGCTCCTGATGCCACTCCTTTGTTATCTTGTCTGTGGGCTTAGGTCATTGTCCTGTTGGAAGATGAACCTTTGCCCCAGTCAGAGCGCTCTAGAGCAGGTTATCATCAAGGATTTGTTTGCACTCATCTTTCCCTCGACTTTGACTAATCTCTCAGTTCCTGCTGCTGAAAAACATCCCAGCATGATGCTGTCACCACCATGCGTCACTGTAGGGATGGTATTGGCCAGGTGATGGGCAGTGATGAGCGTTTGATCTTTGTTTCCTCAGACCAGACGATTTTGTTTCTCGTGGTCTGAATCTTTCAGGTGACTTTTGGCAAACTCCAGGGGGGCTGTCATGTGGCTTTTACTGAGGAGTGGCTTCTGTCTGGCCACTCTACCATGCAGCACAGATTGGTGTAGTCCTCAGAAATGACTGTCCTTCTGGAAGGTTCTCCTCGCTTCACAGAAAAATGCTGGAGCTTTGTTAGAGAAACCATCAGGTTATTGGTCAGCTCCCTGACTAAGGCCCATCTACCCTGATGGCTCAGATTAGTCAGGCGGCCAGCTCTAGGAAGAGTCCTGGTGCTTCTTCTACTTACAGATGATGGAGGCCGCTGTGCTCACTGGGACCTTCAATGCTGTTTTCTGCACCCTTCCTCAGATCTGTACCTCAATACAATCCTGTCTCAGAGGTCTACAGACAATTCCTTAGTTTGTGCTCTGATATGCACCTTTAGCTGTCGGACCTTACATGTATATAGACAGCTGTGTGCTTTTCCAAACAACGTCCACTCAACAGAATTTACCACAGGTGGACTCCAGTCAAGTTGTAGAAACACCTGATACACCTGAGCTCAATTTTCAGTTTTGTTGCCAATTCTGTGAATACTCATGTAAATGTTATTTAATTGTTTTTTAATTTAAAAAAAATTAAAAAAAAATCAAAAAAAAAAAATTTTCATCTTCTCAATAATGGGGATTTTTGTAGAATTTTGAAGTGAAAAATGAATTTTGGTGTGAGGCTGTAACATGAGAAAATGTGCAACAAGTGAGGCGCTGTGAATGCTTTCCAAATGCACTGCAGAGTGACCACTGAGGGCATGAACTCAACAGCAAAGTGTTTACAGAGGTCCAGGCAAATGGACACGTTCCCATAGACAGACGTCTTTTTGCAGCTACAGGTATTTATGCAGGTTAAAGGCACTAATTAGCTGGCTTCACTTTTCAGACTCAGAGGCTTCATCCAACTTTTGTTTACTGTCTATAGTATGGACAAGAGAGACTCGCTGTTTTTGTTTGTTTGTTTTGCTCGTACACAAAGAACCAGTCATTTCACCAGGTTATTGTTGTGATTTCTTTTCTCTGGGGACAGTGAACAGGTGTCAGGATATTTTTACAGCCATACAAATAAATAAAGTCAGCTAACGTGAAGGGAAGCTGCCATGGCTCTGTGGCACATCATGGTCACTGATGGATGAAGGGAGAAGAGGCTCTCACTGAAGGCTCCTACGCAGTGGGAGAACTGAATACTGATGTAGCTCTCTGGTTCCCTCTGCTGGCTGCTCTTTGAATGCCATCTCCTCCTGACAATGTTCAGTATTTATAACCTGATGTAATTCAGCTGTGACTGTCACTCAGACAGCCTGACAGGCCAAAGAAAATCATAAAACAAAGCAAGCTCAGTTTTACTGCCGGTCCTGTCAGCTCTCGTGTTTACACGAAGCTATTTATCAGCTCTTCATTTGCAAGTATAACGGGTTTAAAATTAACACCCACAAAGCATCAGATGCCAATAAAATCCGTCTTTGGTATTGAAGTCGTTAAAGGTCGCACGCCACACTGTCTGCTAACTCTCTGAGAGGATGACATTTGAATGGCTCAGTGTTATGCAGACTTTGGTGTCTGTCTCTTCTCAATCTTTGTCTCTGCTGGCTTCAAGCCAGTCGCGTCAAAGCAATACAGCAGTTAAGTGTCAGCTAAGGCTGCTGATTGGCTGCCAGTCACGCTGATCGTCACACATATCCAGCGTCTGAGTTTATGTCAAGAATTTAGGAGCTAAGAAGTGAACAAGCAAGTTGAAATCTTTAAAAAAAAATTAGATGAGAATTTAATTAATCTTAGATGTTAATGAAATTGAGAGCTTCTCAGTCACGGTGTAAACTGTGTTTAGGACGAGTTCCCGGCCTCCTGCAGTAAACTCTTATACTGCATATAGAGTTGTTCTGTGTATTTATTCAGGTTTCTCTCATGTGGAGCAGTTTGTGCTGTTCGGGTGTGACAATCATAATAATTGTTTTGGTTTTGTGGCTGTTTTTTGTCATGACAACAGATGTGAATCAACAGCTGTAAAAACACTAAATTAAACAGAGGTTTAGGATTTAAATTGTTGGTTTAAGCTGACACTTCCCACTTTGATATGACGAAGCTGTTGACATTATATTCACCTAACTCATGCAATTCTTTCTTCTTCCTCACCCCGTTACCCACCACCCCTCACACGTCCTTCCACTTACCCGCATCCTCTCTCTCAGGTATCTGTACCTGCTGTTCTCCAGCGATGACCTGTTGCCCTTGGAGAACTGGGTTTTCAACACGGAGGCTCACCCACTGCCAGTCCTCCACCTGGGAAACATCACCCTGCCCGGCAGCGAGCCCGCTCAGCGGTAAACGGGCTGGCACTTTTTTTGTGCACCACGGCACCAGGGGCCTGTTTGCCTGCCTACCCAGAAAAACCCACCCACGAACACCAGACAAACTTATAATTCAGACTCTCAACTGATTTCTAACTGAGACCATCAACCGGGGGGGTGGGGAGAGACCACTACAGAGCGAGAGGACCTGTTACTTTACTCGCTCTACTTCTATGTTTTACTCTTTGACTCTGTCGATCTGTCTTCTCTGCTCGAATCTTAAGGACGGTGGGTGTGCTGCTCAGCCTCGTGTTTGGCTTGAATCGACTCTTTTTACTGAAGGACAGAGCTCCAAACCAGAGGCGTGATTAGCTTTTTTTTGTTATCACTTTTAGTCTTTATTTGAAGAAACTCCAATGCAGACTCAAGCTGACACGCTGACAGCTGACTATGAAGGATTACAAAAACACTTTGACACTTAAACTGATGAAAGTGTCATGTTTTGTTTTGTTTTGTTTTGTTTTGTTTTGTTTTGTTTTGTTTTGTTTTGTTTTGTTTTGTTTTGTTTTGTTTTGTTTTGTTTCCAAGCAGACAGACTTCAGGACTTTACAGGGTCTGTTAACACAACCGTTTTTTTCTTTCTTTTCCTTTTTGGACAAATCAATATTGGGGACACAGGGTTGAATCACAGCCCTCAGCTTCTCCCACCAAAATCCACTTCCTGTTTAACCTCCATCGGATGAACTTCAACCTGGAACTGCTAGCAGATGGGCACATCATCAAAGCGAGGGCAGTTTGTGGCAGTGGTCACCGCCTCCTCTGATCCTCGGTTTTCAGAAAAACTGGCCATCATAAGTGGAAGAGTAATTAGACGGGGACTACAGGAGGCCTCCCCTTTTCTCACCACTCCACATGTGTCCTGATCCTCTTCCATGTAGAGACACAGCCACAGCTTTCCCCTCCTTAAAAAAACGTTCTGCTGCTATAGGATTCGATGCTGCTTTTTCTTTTTTTTAAATCTCTGTCCTTCACATTTTCCCCCATCATCTCACAGCTTCTGTAAACCTTTGTCTCATCTTATTTTCTAGCTTTTCATCAATCAGGCACATTATGTTCAGGCCCCTACGTTTTGTGATGGGGTAACCATGCTTTATGTATAGGAATGTTTGTTTTGTGGTTAATATGAAACCTGGTGAAAATCATTTATTTGCATTTTTAATGGGAAGACTATGAAGAAGAGGTTGGTAGAGAAGTGGCACTGAGAAGGGTGAATAAATTTAGAATACCTTATGGTCTCCTGCTGGCATCCTATATCTACACCCACCCCACCTCATAAGTCGGATGCATCATTTGCCACCTAAATCTTTGCTTCAGTTTCATACTTAAAGCACATGTTTTGGTCGGACTCTTAAAAACATAAATTATTAAGGAATCAAACATGTTCCACTTGAGTTATTACACTACATGCACAATAAGCTATTCAGTTAATATTAGATCATAATACTTTCTGTATGTAGCTGCAGTTGTGTTACTTTATCAGAGTCAAACTTGTAAGTGCTGCCTGAGGTCAGGGACAAGCCTGAAGTTCCAGTATAGGGATGCGTTTGATTCCAGATGCACATCTTTTGCCCAGATTTTCGAGCCATTTTTCTCTGAGGTTTGAAAGTCACAGCAGGGCTCGTTCCGTACTCTGACTCGCGTCAAGATCTTGACCTTGTTTATGGAAGTTTGTGCAGCTCCGTTAGCAGCACAGCAGCGCCTCCAGTTATCACTCTTAACACAGCTCCTCGTGGTACATCTAATGCAGCGTGATGGATTTACTGCTCGGGTTGCTCAGATAATGTAATGCAGTCTGCAAAATAAAAAATAAATAAATAAAATGATATGTTGGGGGGAAAAAAGAATGATACAGTTCTCCCATGTGAATCTGACTAAAGGGTTTAAACGTTTGATGTGAGCTGCTACTTTTAAGGGCCGTTCTCTGACTCATTAAAAAGTCCCAAAGGGCAGCAGACATGTGAGTAAGCTTGTCTCATATCATAGCAATGTTAGTGCAAGCGATTATCCGACACACAAGAACCAGATACCGCTCCTGCTTTGGTTCATTTGCGGAGCGTCTTAAAGACAACAGCAGTATTAAACATCACAGATTTGTTTAGATGCTTTAAAGAAAACTCATTTTACATGGTGGGCCACATGCAGCCCACTGTGATCTTAAGTGGGCTGGACTCAGTCAGTGTAAAGACGTTTACCTGCACATTTAATCCCAGAGATATCTTAATATAAGAAAGGAAGTTCACTCACGAAAGTTTGTCATTGATCTACATGGTAAAAAGTGCAGCTGTAGTAAATGAAGGAAACCTAAGAAATGAATGACACAAAATTCTTTTACTGTAGACTCAAGTGAAAGAAAACATTCTGTCATTTCATTGTTTATCTATTACTTAATTACTTTGGTGTTGTATGAATGGCCATGAAGGAATGTCAGCAGGAAAAAGTGTGAAACTTGTGAAAATATAGTTAAGAGTCCAAAATGTGTGTCTGCCATTTTCCAAAGCAGTCCAGCAGGCCAGATTGGAGTCTTTGTTGGTGGGATTCTGGTCCCTGGGCCTTATGTTTGACTCCCCTGCTCTAAGTCTTTACATAAACATCAGACATAACATACCAGCAAGACAAGCCAAGCACCATACAGAAACAGGAAACACTGGCTAACACGTCATTTTGTGTTAGCCAGGAGCTCTTCATGTTTTGCATTTATGCTTTCGTCTTGTGTTTTGTAGTAAGTCAGTAGGTTTTGTAATTGCACACACATTATGGAGACTTAGAGAAATCACCCTGAACTGCTGGGACACAAAGATAACAGCACAAAAAGAGCCACATTTATTAAATGCTGTGACAGCTTTGCGTATTCCTTCCTGTCCTCTCGCCAAAATGTAAGAAACAAACATTTCCTTTTATGAAAGTAGGATTTGCAGACTAGATCTGCTGGTCGTCTGTCAGTAAAGCCATACTGTGTGATGCGGGGCTGCTAACCAACAGCTCCTGCTGCTTTTACAGCACAAACACAGACAGATGTCGGCTGAAGGAGTCGATTAGCATCACTAACTCCAACACTGGGAGTGGAAGCATTAATGTAATGTCAGACAGTCATAGCCGATCTTCTTCGTAACGCTGCTCATGTTTGATCGATCAAATTGTATTTGTTTGTTTGTTTTTGGACAAAATGTAACGCAGAAGTAGAAATGTTGGTAACTTTTATTCTGGTTTATTTTATTTATGCAGCAAAATTTCAGCTGTGGTGTTTTTTTCCCCCCCTTTAATAAAATTTCAGAGAGGCTCTCAGAGCATTCCTGTGTTGATCAGGTCGTAGGACTGTTTCATTCCTCCTGCGTTTTATTTTCTTTCATTCAACAATCGTGTCCATTAAGAGTCCGTAGTTACAGCGCAGTCGCTGACATCACACTGACATCATCACCGCCTACATGTCACGAGGAGGAAGCCCGAGTTGAAACCTGCACGGCCATCGAGTCGCTGGGAGCGGCGCTGATTTTGAAAACTGAGTGTTCTGTATTTGTATTTTTACTGAACTAAAAAACGAAAAAATGAAATGAAACTATCTGTAAATATGTTTAAAACTGAGACACAGATTCAATAAAGATGTTATGAAAAGTGATCAGAAACCAGGAGCACATTTATTCTTTTGCTTTAACTCGATCATGTTGTCATGATACTTTAAGCACCAGTTGCTTTTAGAAAGTAAAATACCACAGCCGTGTATTTTTCACTTTGGTTAAACATACAGGATATTTCATTAATGACTGTCTCTCTGTTGACCTCAGAATTTTGTTGGTCACCCCAGAAATGTAGCTGCTGGGGTGGAAGTTTAAAGGCCAGTTCAGTTTCTCCTGACAGTCACTTTGATCTTCTGAGTTTTCCAAAAAGTTGAGTTTGATCATTGTTTAATAATAAATACCTACAAAGACAACACCATTGTCAGTGGTTGGAGCTGTGCTTGATTATAGATGCACAGATGAGTGTGTAATTCTGCCATGTAGGTGGAAACATTAAATATTTTGTTCAAAGTTTAGTGTCTATAACCAAGAACCCGTCACTGGGGGCCAGCTGCTCGACTCCAACTATGGCTCTTATAAAGCTAATAAGATGCTGAAGCATCAGTGTCATTAACATGAACTAATCTACAGTAAATGTGTGAGTGAAGAGTGAAGAGTTGGCTTCCTTCACATGGTTCACTGTGGCAGCGTCCAAGCTGTCCCCTCATACACAGTGAGGGAAATAATTTTTTGATCCTCTGCTGAATTTGTAGGTTTGCTCACTGTTTAATGGAGACAGAACATCAGCCATGCAGAAAAAAATTAGATGAACATGTGAAATGACCATCGGTTGTCCTCAGCCTGGAGCTCACGCCTCATGGTAAGGGATTGATGGATGGTAGTCTGTGGGAGCCAGAATCCTGCCTGGGTTGGGATCAAATACTTATTTCACTCTGTGACATGCAAATCAAATTATATGAGATGTGTTCTTTCTAGATTTTTGTCTAACATTCACATTCAGAGAAACTTGGGAATATTTGGAAGCCGACTGGAGCATCCACCAATCGAACCACCAACCTTCTGATTAGCAGATGATTTGCTTTACCCCCTGAACAACAGCCACCTGTGGCAGAGGTCAATGTTTTTAACCCGTTTTCAAGTAATACATTTCACTTTGAATATAGAGATATAGAAGTGTTTACATCATAGTCATTGGTTTGAGAGAAAGATGTTGCAAAAGCAAGCAGGTTACATTGTTCACTTATCAAGTAATAATGAGCCTTCATCATCCCCATATGTCACAGCTGACTTTTCTTCTAGTGACGATGTGAAGCTCATATTTGTGGTTTGACTGAAATATCTCAACAACTTCTGCACTGATGCTTTAAAACTACACCTAAAATTATTATTATTATTATTTTTATACACATGTAGTGCTTAGCACATTTATTAGATCTCCCCTAACCCTCAACTCGTCACAGGCCAAGGGTGTCCAACTCCAGGCCTCGAGAGCCGGTGTCCTGCAGGTCTTAGATGTGTCCTTGATCCAACACAGCTGTTCTAAATGTTCTAAATCATCTGATTCAGGTGTGTTGACCCAGGGTGAGATCTAAAACCTGCAGGACACCGGCCCTTGAGGCCTGGCGTTGGACACCCCTGAGGTTAATGAGCTCAGTCGCTGGTTTCAGTTCATATTAAATACAAAACTGTATGGTGAATGATGACGAGTCAGCGAGGATTATCCAGGATATGCTTACTAAGGACTCGTCACTCGTCAGTAGTAGGTGGTGTGTTTGGGTTAACACTCATATCTGGCCTTTTCTCTTCAAATCCAGAACAAAAACGCTCAGCTCAGGACTTTAAAACCTTTGATTTTATTAACCAAACATCACAGTCACTGTCTCCATCTTTTATACTGTCTATATTTCAGACGTAGTATTAACTAATGGGACACATCAAGGCCCAGTATAAAGCTTTGGAAGGGTCATTTCTG